TTGGCGGATTGCTTTTCCGAGGGCAATAATCCCTTCCAAAAATAAATAAATAAGATAATGTCGTCACTCAATCCACAACTGTTTGTGTGCACAATTGGCTGCCACATTACGCCCACAAAATATACAGACAATTCACTTTACAGTATATTGTATGAAGTGCTTTCAGATGTCTGAAAAACATGATCAGATGCTATATCAAATGCAAGGTTTGTCATTATTTTTATTAGCATTTAAAGGTTTCTTCTCAAAGAACAATCAGATTTTCCTTTCTCAGGATGGCTGCTCTCTCACAGAGCCACCTGTGTCATTTTTCCCCTAGAAGTTTGCTAGTGATCTAGAGGACTTGAAGTCCTCGCCCGTCGTAAAGCAGTCAGATCTTCGACCTACTTAGGAGAGAGAGAGAACGTTTAATTGGGAGTCGTTAGTCAGGGCTGGGAAGCAAGTGAATGGCTCTGATCTGGTTCCCGGTGGAACCTGATGTTCCTGAGACTCCGGGTTGACAGAATGGTGCTCATTTACCCAGGGTGAGATCCGTTCTCAGAAAGGTGCACATCCGCCGAGTCAGAACATATCACAACGTCTTATCAGGTTTAGCAAACACCTTATGTTTTTTTGCAGGTGAATCGTTAGAATTCCAGAGTGGGGTCATTCAACCCCGGTTTGCACACAAAATATACCATATATACACCGTCAATTCACTTTACAATATATTCTGTGAAGCGCTTTGAGACGTCTCGAAGACGTGAAAAGCCGATATATCAAAATGCAACGATTATTATTATTATTGAACACTATTATTTAGCCTCTTAAAAGAAGCGCTATGCCACTTTCGTTAGTGGATATAAGGGTGTGTGAACCTATCAATTTCAACTGATTTGAATTGGTGGTCTAACTACACCTGGTAATAGCCGCTTGGCAGGTTTTAAGGCTGCAATGTGTTTAGTAATCCTACAATTTTATATAGCTTTGCCTCCAAAATATACAGTCAGTACATTTTACAGCATATCTTGGGAAGTGTTTTGAGACATCTCAACAATATGATAAGGTACAGTATCAAATACAAGGATCGTTATTATTGTTATAATAATTTTCAGGCCTCCAACTTAAAAGCAAAGCTGACCCATTTCTTTTTAAAATTGTCCGTTTTAATCTGTTGGCGTTTTGTGGTTGTGATCTCTGTCTGTGCCACCAGCACTCTCGAGACACCGTTGAGTATTCACAAGTGATTACTACAGGTTTATCCTTGAAATCTATGAATTGCACGCTTGAGAGATTGAGCGAGCTTCGTCCTAAGCCACTCTCACCAGCAAAAAGTGCTGTGAGCATCATGGCTGCTTTCTACATAAGTGAGTACAGAAAGACTAGCTAAAATGCAGTTCCAAAGCATTTAACTGCATTGTAAATCTTGTCCTGCAGTTCAGTTTCAGTGTAAGGATTTGCAGTCATTTATACGAAGTTGGGGGATATGAGGCATGTGTGTGCCACAATACAATGATTGCTCGCTCTTAAATTTCATGATTTAGCTATTTGCTGGCAGGCTGTAGTATATTTGATACAGAAATGCCACTATGATGTTCATGGGGTTTATATTTATCATAAAATAGATTGAATCCCGTTTTATGGCTTTTTTTTCCCCCCCTCCCCTGGCCCTTCATGGTTTCACAGCTCCTCTAAATGATTTGGCCACCAAGCCCGGCATTTGGGTTAATGCATTGACATGGAATCCCAAGGTGGCTTCCCATAGAGCTCACAACAGTCATAGTTTTAGTCATTGTGTGTGTGTGTCTGAGCCTGCAACTGCTCTTTGTGTGTGCGTGTGTGTGCGTGTGTGCAAGCACGCTTGTAACTGCTGTGTAAATGTGTGTGTAACTGTTACTCCGCGTGTGCGCGTGCATGCAGGAGTACTTGGTACAGTACTGTTGATTCCGATATAATTCCCATCATTTCTATGTGCTGTTTCATCATTCTGCTGAATTATGTGTTAAAACCATCAAACTAACCGTGTAGTACGGTAGTTCAGCTAGGAACGTGAGGTTCACAGTGCTGAGGACTTGCCTGTTCCTCCATGTCTTTGCCAGGATTATCCCTCGATGACCCTGCTCAACTTCTTGCCTTTTTCACAGAAAAAAAATCACAAGTCAATAATAATAATTATTTCATACAGCGCCTTATCACGTCGTTGAGATGTCTCAAAGCGCTTCACACGATATACTGTAATGTGAATTGACTACATTTTATGGGCGAAACCCGGCAGCCAATTGCGCACACATCACTGTCAGTGTCCCACAGACAGTCGTGGATTGAGTGACCATATTATTATTTATTTTTTGGAAAGGATTATTACCCCCGGAAAGTGATCTGTGATCGACTAACAACCGGGTTCCTACTTACCGCTAGGTAAACAAAGCAATGTGGAGTCAGGAAACTTGCCCTGCCGAGAATCGAACCCAGGTCCTCTCGCTTGCGAAGCGACTGCTCTAACCACTGAGCTACAGACCTCCATCAAATCCACGGTCGCTTGTAAAAGCTACATCTCTTATCTGACAGGCGGCCACTGTCACAATGCAATGCTCCTCTCAGCACTGCACGGGTGCGTCAGACTCGGCTGTTTGCCTGACACACTCTATACGGTTAGCATCCCGAGTCAGCGAGCAGATTTTTTTGCATAAAACTTTTTGCAAATTATTTTGCGAGGAGATTGACAGACAGTGAGCTCTATTTTTAGTTTGCAATCCGGAGTTCTGCTCCATTACTCCAGTGATGGCAGCTTCTGACGGAAGAGGGCAGAGCACTCCCTCCCATTAGATAGACAACTAAATGAGGCGTGAGAGTTCGAACGCTCGCTCCCGACCCAGGTATTTGACAGCCCAAACCTCTCAAACATTCCAATTAAATACTTCCCGAGGTTGAACACCATTTGTTTCTGTGATAATTGTGGGGAAAGAAAGTTTTAAGAGGAATACGCTGGCAAACGACCCATTGATGACCTTGTTTTGGAGCGTTAGTGCCAAATAGTCCTTTCACTTACACTCTACTGCACCGCTAAATGCAATGGACAGTGCTTCCAGGTTCAAGAACGACTATATAGGAACAGAAGTAGGCCATTCAGCCCCTCGAGCCTGTTCCACCATTCTATAAGATCATGACCGATCTGTAGCTCAAATCCAGTTACCTGCCCTTGCCCCATATCCTGTGATATCCTGACCTAACAGAAATCTTTCCATCTCAGTCTTGAATGGATCCAGCATCCACAGCCTTGTGGGAGAGGGAATAAGTTCCAGATTTCCACCACCCTTTGGATAAAAAAACTGCCTCCTGATTTCACTCCTAAATTAAATAGCTTAGCTCTAATTTTGAGATGATGCCCCCTTGTTCTGGATTCCCCCACCCACCAGAGGAAATAGTTTCTCTGTTTATTCAAATGTGCCAGAGCAGCAGGACCGACACGAGATCAGGGATTTTCTCTCTCTGCTCTGCACACAGAGTGGGTAAATAGCACGGCACGGATCACCAGCAAGGGTTGTTAAGACCAAGACTAGATACAGAAATGCCACGTTTTCTTAAACTACACAGTTGCACTGACTGTGTTAAGAGAGAGCATTTGATATAGTGCTTTTCACGTCTTCTGGACATCTCAGAGCGCTTCACAGAAAATACTGTAAAGTGAATTGACTGTATGTTTGTGGGCGAAATGCAGCAGCTAATTGTGCACAGCAGCGTCCCACAAACAGTTGTGGATTGAAGTGACCAATTTATTATTGTTTGTTTTCTTGAGGGATTATTATCAGGCGTGTGGAGTAAGGAAACTTACCCAAGGTTTTTTTCCTGCCTGGAATCGAACCCAGATCTCTCGCTTGCGAGGCGAGCGCTCTAACCGCTGAGCTACAGGACTGGATTCCTTATTGGCTTAGGCGCGATATACTGCCTTATATCGTCCCAAAGAGCTTTGCAGGATATACTGTAAAGTGAATTGACAACAGCCAATTGCATACAGCAGTGTCCCACCAACAGTCGTGGATTGAGTGACCACATTATTATTATTTATTTATTTTTTGGAAGGGATTATTAACACCCAGAAAAGCCATTCGCCAATCCACTAACAACTAGGTTCCTACTTACTGCAAGGTAAACAGAGTGTGGAATAAGGAAACTTGCTTCATGTTTTGCCCTAACCGGGAATCAAACCCGTGTCCTATCGCTTGCGAGCTCAGTGCTCAAACTACTACGCTACAGGACTCTATGAAATCAACTGAGAGTCCCAAGTCTTGAGGTATAATATGTCTGTGTTCAACTTATTTTGCTTTCATTCCCTCCCTTTCCCAACACCTGCACATTAACCCAGCATAATAAAACCATGCACCATTCCTCCCTTTAATGGTTTAATGATGGCAGGAGAATGGGATGGTTAGATACCTTTATGAGCAGGTTCCTGCCTCCGCTACATTTCCCCCACGACAGCTTCTGTAGCGTTCTCCATAGATCTGAGCTTTTCTTAACCAAATTGACGGTACGTGCACTTAGAATCCAAATGGCCAATTTTCAAAAATAACTCCGCTTAACATGGGTGATCAGAGGCTAGTTGGGCATGGACAGACAATTGAGCAGTTATTAGTTTTCAGTGCCATCGTCTTCAATGGACCCTATAAATGGTGGCGCAATTTTGGATGTTTTTTTGTTAGGGAAAGGTTAAAGGAATTTAGTGTAATATTGTAGGTTGTATCAATGTGACCAGCATTGCTTTTAATAATAATAATAATCCTTGCATTTGATATGGAACCTTATCACATCTTACACGTCTCAAAGCGCTTCACAGAATATACTAAAGTGGAGTGACGGTCTGCGCGAAAATAAATGGTTGCTTTGGGGGAAAGCTGGCTCCCTATTGCTATTACTACTGTTTCTCTCTTTGCTTCTATGATTTTCCCAATTGAAATGAGAAGATTGATTGTGTGCTTGAAGCCGAACGGAGGGTGACCTGACTCTTTTCTCCTGTTCACCAGGTCAATGTAACAGTGGACTACATCAGACAAGCCACCGCTTCAACAGATGTCACCCCAGCATTTCCAGAGCGCACATGTGCCACAGTTACTATTGGTGGAATGTGAGTAAGGGTATCAAGGGATATGGGGCAACTGCGAGTAATTGGAATTGAGGTCAGCCATGATCTTATAGAATAGTTGACTGAATGGCCAACTCCTATGGTCCTAGAGTCGAGACTGGCAAAGCCGGGAATAGTTTTTTTTACACACACATACAGATAATAATAATGTATAATAATAATAATACTTGCGTTTAAATATAGTGCCTTTATCACGTCGTCCATGCATCTCAAAGCGCTTCACAGCGAATTGACTGAAGGCCGCGTTTCGCCCACAAAATACACAGTCAATTCACTTCATAGTATATTCTGTGAAGCGCTTTGAGACGTCTCGATCGTAAGGCGCTATATTAAATGCAAGGATTATTATTATTATCCAGGTGAGATATATCCATGAGGTTAGTGATTTCGTGCTGTGTGATAGGGGAAAAAACCTTGATGAAGTTTTTCTAATTATTTTGTACAGTATGGCAATCTGGGCAGTTGCTGGAGGGTTACAGAAGCGAGTACATGATTGCCTTCCTCCAAAATGTCACTTGCCTGCGACTGCTAATGGACTAAAAGCACAGGAATTTTTTTTCATTGTTAAGGGTGTCAGGGCAATTGCAGGATTAAAGTATTGCTGTCTTCATTTTATTACATCCTGCCTCAGAGGTGGTGAAATGCAATCCATGCATAAATAACACTCTGCGTTTAACGCACGTCTTTACAATTGAATCGTTTAATTTAGCTCCCGTGGACTTTGAAGGTATCATTGTCTCTTTCTTCTCTATTCCCCTCCCCCACCCCTCAACATACATTTATTTTAAACCAAAGTGAATTTTTTCTCCTGGATATCCTTGGTGAATTTTGCTCTCTGAAACCAAATTCACCTCCCAAAAGTGTTAACTGGCCCACAAAATACACATACAATCCACTTCACAATATATTCTGTGAAGCGCTTTGAGACATCTTAATGACTTGATGAGGTGCTATATCAAATGCAAGGAGTATTATTATTAATCCTGTATTTGAGTAGTTAGAGCTCTTGCCTCGCAAGCGAGAGGACCTGAGTTTGATTCCCGGGCTCGATTCCCGGGCAGGGCGAAACATTGGGCAAGTTTCCTTACTCCACACACCTCTGTTTAGCTTGCAATAAATAGGAACCCGCTTGTTAGTCGATTGGCGGATGGCTTTCTGGGGGCAATAATCCCATCAAAAAAAAAAGAATAATTTGGTCACTCAATCCACGACTATTTGTGGGACTCTTTATGTTCAATTGGCTGCCACGTTTCGCCCACAAAATACACAGTCGCTACACTTTACAGTATATCCTATGAAGCGCTTTGAGATGTCTGGAAGACCTGATAAGGCGCTGTATAGAGTCCTGTAGCTCTGTGGTTAGAGCACTCGCTTTGCAAGTGAGAGACCTGAGTTCAATTCCAGGCAGAGGGCGAAACCTTGGGCAAGTTTCCTTACCCACACAGAGCCTAATAACAATCCCTCCAAAACCCAAAACAATAATAAATTGGTCATTTTCAATCTACGACTGTTTGTGGGACATTGCTGTGCGCAATTGGCTGCCGCGTTCGCCCACAAATATACAGTCAATTCACTTTACAGTGAAGCGCTTTGAGACGTCGAGAAGACGTGAAAAGCACTATATCAAGTCCAAGGATTATTATTATTTATTTATCAAATGCAAGGCTTATTATTATTGGTTTGTGGGGTGTGACCAATGCAAATAGGCTGCTGCATTCACCTCGAACACAATTCACTTCACTTCCAAATGAACTTATTGTGCAAAGCCCTCTGAGACATTTCTTGTCTACGTGAGTTGCTATAGAAATGTAAGTTGTGCTGCTGTAAAGCACCTGTGCCCCATAATGTGTGGTTGGATTGCTCTGTTGCATGCACTGGGATATGCTGTTTATTCCCTGTATGTGAATTAAGTTATACCAGAAATTCTATTCCGCCAGCCACTTATAGAGGAAACTGAAAGACTTTGTACTCCTCTGCAATTGTGAGCACCAGCGGTAACCATAGGAACTCCTGCCACCTGGGTTTCTCTCTCTTCCCGACAAAATAATTGAAAAGAAACAACCTATCCTTCAAATGGAGCTTAATAAATAAAAGTCACATACAAACCTCCATCTCCCCCATGGACTCTCACCCAGTGTAAACGTGCTTCTCAGCAGCAAACACTGGCCGGCCAATGCCTGGTGCTTTTTGTTTCTGGTGTTAACCGCTGTCTTAAAACTTGAGATTCTGCAGAATTTGGGAACACTCTTAAATTTGACGCCATTTAAAGAGCAAATGTGCAAAATACAAATGAAAGGTGTGTTTCTTGTTGAGCACCAATTCTCTGTGGGGTATTTTGCCACTTGAGAACCCAGTGGTTAGAGCACTCGCCTCGCAAGCAAGAAGACCTGGGTTCAATTCCCAGGCAGAGCCTTAGGCAAGTCTCCTTGTTCCACACGCACCTCTGTTTACCTTGCAGTATGTAGGAACCTGGTAATTCGTCGATTGATGGATCGCTTTCTACCTATCCCTCGCTATCCCTCCAAATAAAATAAAATAATAATCATCAATCCATGACTGTTTGTGGGATACTGTTGTGCGCAATTGGCTAACATATTTCTCCCACAAAATATACAGTCAATCCACTTTACAGTGTATCTTGTGAAGCGCTTTGAGATGGTTCAACAACATAATGAAGAGCTATATCAAATACAAGGATTATTAATAGGATTATTAGTGGCACATTCCCAAACCGGGCTCCTTTCATAAACACATTTATAATAATAATCCTCACATTTGATATAATGCCTCATCACGTCTTTGAGACATCTCAAAGGGCTTCATAGCATATACTATAAAGTGAATTGACTGTATTTTTTGGGCATAATGCAGCACAGTTTCTGGTTTGAATACCATCTCCGTAGGAGAAAAGACAGAATACAATGCCTCAGTTTAGATTGGGTTGAATTGAAGCGACAATGAGTGTTGCCAGAACGACTAAATGAGGTTATACCCAACAGCCTCGTTCTCTCTGATGGCAAAGAGTTCAAGGATATTTTCTGATCACTTTGTGCAGTTGTTGCATTTTTTTGTTTCAGATTACAAATTTAACTGTACAAAGCCAGTTGTGCTCGTCTCATACCATGTCGCGTGAAATCTAATCGGGCTGAGGTGTGGGGCGGTGGAGGGGAACGAGAGAGAGAGAGAGAGAGAGAGAAGAAAATTCTGGTTCCTGCCAATATGGGACCATTTTGTATCACTGAACAACTAATATATTTACAGTTGCCCAGCTGACAGATGACAAATGGCCATTCTTAGTCACAGGTTGAGAGCTAGGAAGCACTATAATTTACACACTTTACATTTCCAAGCGAGAGAGAGAGAGAGAGAGAGAGAGAACAAATCACGTAGCTGCTGAAGAATCTAAGGCCTGAAATTTCTCCTCGTCCTAGCCTGCACTACGAAGTCGAACAGAATTGTGAAAAGATTCCTCAAACCAGTCTTAATTTAATTTGTCGTTGCCTTGAAAGACGCCTCGTAAAAGACCTCGTTGGCCGTGCTTTCTGTCATCTTCCTGTGCAGTCCTGTGTCTCGGTGGTTAGTGCACTTGCCTCGCAAACGAGAGGAGCCAGGTTTGATTCCTAGGCAGGGTGAACCATTGGGCAGGTTTCCTTACTCCACACACCTCTGTTTTCCTAGTAGGAAGTAGGAACCCGGTTGTCAGATGATTGGTGGATCGCTTTTCCGGGGGTGATAATCCCTTTTTAAAAAATTTGGTCACTCAATCCACAATTGTGTGCAATTGGCTGCTGCGTTTAGCCCACGGTCACTCCACTTTACAGTATATTCTGTGAAGCGCTTTGAGACGCCTCGAAGACATGATAAGGTGCGATATCAAATGCAAGGATTATTATTATAAATTTGCATCCGAGATAGGTCACAGTGCGACTGTTTGTGATGCCGCACTCCATCAGTGGTCCCTCTATTTTCCCATTCTCTCTCTCCGTGCAGCAGGTTTAGAAAACGCTTTGACCGTCCTCACTTTTAAGAAGCAGTGTAGGTTAGGATTATCGGCAGAGTCTTGCTGCCAGCTAATACACCTCGTTAGGATTCCTGTTTTATTTTAATAGTCCATTATAATTCCTCTACTCTGCCACCGTTCAGCCACCGTTGTCAGCCTGTTGTTGGTTATTAAACTGACGAGCTCAGACTCCTACTACAAATTATTCCTTCATGTTTTGAATACGAAAAGGAAAGGGGGAGGAGAGGGGCATGTCGTTAAAGCTATCCGCACGGCAGAATTAGCAGCGCTTTGTCTGTATGAGCTGCTAATGGTCGACAAAAGACCTGCCTTTCACATCCCACAGCTGCCACTGCTAGTTGTCTCCTGAAGTGAAACTGGAAATCTCAATTTTTGGGGGGATTTTGTTTTCTTCAAACTCTTTTAAAAAAAACTTGCTTTAATAACTTTCAGTGGAGTCCTGTAGCTCAGTGGTTAGAGCGCTCGCCTCGCAAGCGAGAGGACCCGGGTTCGATTTCCAGACAGGGCAAACCCTTAGGCAAGTTTCCTTACTCCACACACACACACCTCTATTTACCAGCAGTAAGTAGGAACCCGCTTGTTAGTCAATTGGCGGATCGCTTTCAGGGAGTAATAATCCCTGAAATTAGTTTCTCAATGCGCGACTGCTTGTGGGACATTGCTGTGCACAGTTGGCTGCCGCATTTCGCCTCCAACAACATCAACTTGCATTTATATAGTACCCTTCATATGGGGTAGCGTCCTGGAGCGTTTCTCCAAGTTGACTTCACCAAGCACTGGGTGTTGTCAGTCTGTCTCAGTTGTCAGGTCCTTGACTGGTTGATAGAGGTAGACATTGATGTCTGATTCCGGTGTTGGTGGGTGGGAATACCTCCTCAATGATTGTTGAGCCTTCGGGTTGGGACGTTAGAGTGACTAGATATGAGTTTAACTCCATTTAAGAATTGATTAAGGTGTTTGA